GGGGCTGGGTGTGTGTGTGTGTGTGTGAAAAGACATTGAGTCCATGCTCACTCTTCCCGCTTGCAGGAGTGAGTTTCATAGCCTAGGTCCAGCTCCTGGGACAGATCTGTCTTGTGCACACGCAAGCCTACCTTTTCTGGGTTGGTTGCTCTGCTGGAATGTTGCTTTGTGGGAGGTCTGTGGCCACGAATGGAGGGGCAGTTTCCAAGAGCTGATCCCAGGGAGGGCTTGGACTGTCAAGACAAAGGGCTCTGTATCCACCAAAAGGGAGTCTGCACAGAAAGAGGAACCCCAAAGTTGACCTGTCGCTAGCTGGATGGGCCACTGGGTGTTGTATTTTCAAGGGTGCATGGCCACATTTCCCAGAAGTGAGTGTCAGTCACCAATGTATGGATAATGGTGGCCAGATGTATGTCTGATAGGATGGCGTGTGATCTCCTGAGCAGGTACAGATGGCAGTGGGGGTGCTTTTAAGCAATGAGTGGTGCAGTTTCCTTCCTTCTGATTTTCCTTTCATCATTCAGCAGCGCTTCCTATACGATAAGTGCTATCTTGATTCTACAGGGGGAAACGGAGGCACAAAACTTGCATGATTGTCCAAAGTGTCACAAGCCTGGGGCAGAGCCATGGCTAGATTGAAGGAGTTCCTGACTCCCAGATTTGTGTTCATTCCTACATTCATTGTGACACGCTTAGGCTTGCAGCTCTCTGCAATAGTATTCACAGTTAAAGCCTCCCCCAAAATCCTCAGCAGAGTGTTTCAAATCCAAGCCCAAGATGAGTGACAGACCAATACTAAAAGAACGAGGAGTACTTGTGGCACCTTAGAGACTAACATATTTATTTGGGCATAAGCTGTCGTGGGCTAAAACCAACTTCATCGGATGCATGCAGTGGAAAATACAGTAGGAAGATGATATATATATACAGAGAACATGAAAAAATGGGGGTTGCCATACCAACTCTGATAGCTGATAACCAATACTGACAGCTCCATTGCAAATAAAGAGCATGAACAATCTGTGTGATCTAATTCGACCCCTCTCAGGAAATGCTGCTTTTGCTGATCGCGTCCATGCTGTGGACCCAGAGATCATGTCTGGGTGGGGGCTGATGCCAGCAAGCAAAGTCCTTCCTAAATGAGCAGGCTTTCTGCCACCTCCTCTAATCCTGCTTGCTGCTCCCTCAGCTCTCAGCCTCTTTCAGCTTCGTTTTAGCTCATTGCGAGCTCTAGGGGGTGGCAGGAGTAGTGGGGGAGGGGAATGCTTTGCTTTCTAGCACTTTGCACTAGAATGACGAGAGGCCCAGATCCTCAAAGGTATTTAGGCTCCTAATGCCCACTGAAATCAATGGGAATTAGGAGCCTGAATACTTCTGAGGATCTAGGCCAGGGCTCCCAGCAGCATTTGGGAAGATCAGCTCCAGGATGGTGCCCCAGAAAGACACAACCAGCACCCATTCCTAAGGGCTTGGAGCCTCATGCCCCAGAGCTGTTGTTGTGGGGGGGATCAGGCAGAGGTACAGACTTGTCCTGCCAGCAGCCATGTTTAAAGAAGGTGTCTGGCTAGCGCACTTTTCGTGGGTAATTCCTACCTCAGGGAGGCTCAGTTCATTTATGTGTGCATTAAGATCCTTACGCGGAAGAATAAACTATTGCTACTAACAGGGCAGGAGGCAGATGTAATTCCCAGACATTTGCAGACAGGGATATTTTTTCTCACTTGTGATGTGTGGTATAAAGCCAGCCTTTGGATCTCATTAGAACAGCTTTGCTGGAGGGCTGTGCCCAGCATTGTCCAGTGCACAGAGTATCGGGCAGGGAGTCAGGACACCTGGGTTCTATTTAACGCCTTGGTTTCCCTATCTGTAAAATAGGGCTAATGCTTTGAGATCTACAGACTAGAAGTGCTATCTAGGTACTAGGCTTGGCCATTTATTGAATGTGGCTCCATTTTGAGCTACAGAAAGGACTTTAACTGCACCCTCAAGGTACGCTAAGGAATTGAATGGTCAAGGGTTTAATATCATTCAGGATCACAGCTATTACCCTGAGGAACCATGTTGTGTCTGGGTTGGAAGATGACTGCTTGAATCACAGTTAGAGTGTAGATGGGCCCATCCCCTGCCCCGGCTAGTTATCTACAGTGTGATTTGGCGAAGGTGGTTGCTGCCTTATTAAAGGTCCTGTTTCATACTGCCATGTGTGGCCTTCCATCTGAGGGTCTCAATCACGTCATTAAAAATTAAGCCCCTTCAAACCCCCGTGAGGTAGGCAGACATTACCCACAGGGGGAAGAAACTGAGGCATAGAGAAACAAAGTAACTCTCTGAGTGATTCGGGGCAGACCTGGGAATAGAACCCCTGTGTCCTGACACTTGCTGCATGGCTTTAACTACCAGTGCTTCCTGCTGTGTAAAACCTGGGAGGGCCTCCAAGCTGACTTTGGGCAAGGAGACGAGGAAGTTATATTGGCAGTGTCAGGTGAAGAATGTCAAATGTTTATTATAGCTACAACTCTGTAGCCTAAGCAAATATTGGTCCCCTTATTTTCTCTCTCTGCCATCTAGCGACCTGTGAGGGAGTAAAACAGGGGAAAGCGGCACTACGAAGAACAAGGACCAAGGCTGATTGTGAAGGGTTTGTCTCCGTGACTTAGGATTGTAGAACGAGAGGGCCAGATCCTCAGCTAGTGTAAATCAGCAGCAGCCTCTGCCACTTTACACCAGCTAGGGATCTGGCCCAGAGTACTTGGAATCTGTTAGCACCCATTGTGCATTTGTTTCCAATGACTGCGATTTCTGGAGCCATTTGTTCCAACCTCCAGGGCAAGATAAAAGTCAGAGGCATAATTCTTTTGTCTGTGCTTTAAGTGCAGGACCTTTTGGTATCTGTCTCACAGAGGTTAGTGGTGTCCTGAGATGAGAGGCTGTCGTGCCATGAGTGGATTGCTGCTGCCGCCCGTCTTGTTCTGACGGCGGTGACGTAGGCATATCTGCTGTGATTCTTCAGTGCTTTGAAAACAGCGATTTAGATGAGGACATGGCTAATAAGGTAGCTAAGAGATCACAGGGAAATGAGGCAAACCTCCCAGCCCATTTACTGGAGCAGTTCCAGTTCCCCATATCAGGGCAGGTGGAACAAGAATTAATAACTAACAAAGCATGTCAATCAGTATCCAGGGCTCAGAGTAGCGGCCGTGTTAGTCTGTATTCGCAAAAAGAACAGGAGGACTTGTGGCTCCTTAGAGACTAACCAATTTATTTGGGCATAAGCTTTCGTGAGCTATCCAGGGCATTATCGTCAAGTCTCAGTGAAACAAAAATAAACCAGTGCAGGTCTATGGGGTATTGCCAGCTCTGCTTAACTGCGTTAGCACTGCTTCAGATAGCAGGTACACAGCACTCGGCATGCTTTCAGCTCCGGACATGATCTGCCCTTGATCTTGAGGTTATAGCTGGAGCCTGGGAACCAGGCGCTCCTGAGCCCTAGTCCTGGCTCTTGTCCCTGACTCGCTGAGTGACTTTGGCTGAGTCACCTAATCACTCTGCATCCGTGTCCCATTGGTAAAACTTCAGTTTTCTGTCCATGTGCAGCTGACAAGTAGCTTTGCTGTGAAATGGCTAATCTGCCACAAATTGGTAGGGAGAAGTGGGTCTGATGGAGGATTCTAACCAGACTCGTAAGGTTCATAGTTGCTGAAGAAGGGCTCTGAATTAGGGTTGCCGACTTTCTAATTGCACAAAACCGAACACCCTGGCCCCGACTCCTGCCCCAAGGCCCTGCCCTGCCCCTTCTCTGAGGCCCTGCCCCCCACTCACTACACCCTCCTTCCGTCGCTCGCTCTCCCCTACCCTCACTCACTTTCACTGGGCTGGGGCAGGGAATGGGGGTGCAGGAGGGGGTGAGGGCTCCAGGATAGGGCCAGAAATGAGGGGTTCAGGGTGCAGGAGGGGGCTGTGGGCGGTGGGAAGGAGTTGGGGTGCGGGAGGGGGTGTAGACTCCATCTGGGAGTGTAGGCTCTGGGATGGGGCCAGGGATGAGGGATTTGGGGTACAGCAGGGGGCTCTGGGCTGGGGCAGAGGGGGTTGGAGTGCAGGAGGGGGTTCCGACCTGGGGCAGGGGGTTCAGGGTGAGGGCTCTGGCCAGGCAGCACTTGCCTCAGGCGGCTACTGCTAAAGCAGATGGCTTGTCCGGCCACTAGACGGAGGCATGGCCAGGCGGCACTGTACGGTGCACGCTGCCTGCACCTGCAGGCACTGCCCCCACAGCTCCCATTGGTTGTGGTTCCCGGACAATAGGAGCTGTGGAGACAGCACTTGGGGTGGGGGCAGCACACGGAGCTTCCCTGGCTGCCCCTGCACCTAGAGGCCGGATATACCGGCTGCTTCCAGGGAGCTGTGCACAGCCAAGGCAGTCCTGCTGCGCCGCCAACCGGACTTTTAACGGCCCCGTCAGCACTGCTGACGGGAGCCGCCAGGGTCCTTTTTCGACCAGGGGTTCCAGTAGAAAACCAGACACCTGGCAGCCCTATTCTGAATCAGAGAGGCCTCTGCTTTGGTGGCGCTTGAGAAATCCATTTACCTGGAGTCTTACCCAAATTCAGAGCACCGAAGGGACCTGATTCTGCATCAGTGAAGTCAATGGGAGTTGCAGTGGGAGATATATCAGAGGGGGCACGTAGCCAGAGTTCCTGGTTATGGAATTTACCTGTGCTATTTGCATTGCAATGCAGCTTTGAAGTCCTGGAGTGCATCCTGTGCATTTTCTTTTCAAGAAAAAAACACCTAGGAAACGCTATTAAAAAACCCCCAAAAAAGTTGTTAATAGAACATTAAGGTTGCATAGGTAAGGATTTAAAAGTCAGGAAATGATTGAGGAAATGCATGTGTTACCTTAACTCTGCCCCCTTGTGCCCATGCTTCTATGATACCACCTTTCAATTACATGATCACATGTTATATCTAATTTTTCCTGATACGTTAGATCCACAAGTGTAGCATGTTGTAGTGCTGTGTAGTGTTCTGTGTGTGCCACTTGGAGTCCATGAAATTCACAGATATGAAGAATACACACAAAATCATACATACCCAGAATACCATAGCACATCGTAGCACAGATATTCTGAGCTACATCAGTAATGGGTCTGTGTAAGTACCTAGCTAGCATAATACTGCCATCTTGCTGGAATATAGATAGGGTAATTAAATTCACAGCTAAGTTAGCTTCATAATTAATTGTTGAAAATAAAATGTACAGCAGATGGGTGCTGACAAAGTTGTTAAAATAGAGACCATAAAGATGTATGTAAAAAAGAATTAAACAATAAAAGTATGCTGGGCCATTATGATAATGCAAGGAATTAAAACTTTGCAAGACACAGCATGTGTTGTGAAAACTGTTGTACTGTATTGTGTTGTTTGAGAACTGCACGATCACATGGTTTAATGCTACTGCAAGAATACATACGCCCAAGGGGGCAGAGTTAAGATTCCACATGCAACCTTGTCTTGGACACTTCTGAACTTTGGTATGATTAGGTGTGTAACTGTTCCAGTAAGACATTTGATAAGGTGGAATCCATCTGCTCTGAGCTCAAAAATAATGTGGCTCAACGGTGAAGACAGCGGGGTTTTTGGCATGTGTGTAGGGAGGGAGAGCAAATGCAGAACCAGTGGAGGTCTGGGTTGATCTTTTTGAGGTCAGGGATATGGATAGTGTTGTGGGGATCTGGGAACAATGTGTGTGCATGGTTAAGAAAGAGATAGGGTGTCAAGGTTCCTTCCCCACTCTGAACTCTAGGATACAGATGTGGGGACCTGCATGAAAACCCCCCTAAGCTTATTCTTACCAGCTTAGGTTAAAACTTCCCCAAGGTACAAACTATTTTACCTTTTGCCCTTGGACTTTATTGCTGCCACCACCAAGCGTCTAACAAATATATAACAGGGAAAGAGCCTGCTTGGAAACGTCTTTCCCCCCCACAAAATCCTCCCAAACCTTACACCCCCTTTCCTAGAGAAGGCTTGATAAAAATCCTCACTAATTTGCATAGGTGAACACAGACCCAAACCCTTGGATCTTAAGAACAATGAAAAAGCAATCAGAAGAAGAAGAAGAAAGAAAAGAAGAATTTTAATTGAAGAAAAAGTAGAAGAATCACCTCTGTAAAATCAGGATGGTAAATACCTTATAGGGTAATCAGATTCAAAATATAGAGAATCCCTCTAGGCAAAATCTTAAGTTACAAAAAGACACAAAAACAGGAATATACATTCAGCACAACTTATTTTATCAGCCATTTAAACAAAATATAATCTAACGCATATCTTACTAGATTGCTTATTAGCCCTTTACAGGAGTTCTGACCTGCATTCCTGCTCTGGTCTGGGCAAAAACAACACACAGACAGAGAGAACCCTTTGTTTCCCCCCTCCCCTCCAGCTTTGAAAGTATCTTGTCTCCTCATTGGTCATTTTGGTCAGGTGTTAGCGAGGTTATCTTTAGCTTCTTAACCCTTTACAGGTGAAAGGGTCTTTTCCTCTGGCCAGGAGGGATTTAAAAGTGGTTCACCTTCCCTTTATATTTATGACATAGGGTTAAGTCTGGGATATTGGGTGGGGGGAGAGGGATGCAGATCCCTAGGAAAGATCCACTGTTGGAATACTTTGTCCAGTTCTGGTGTCCACAATTCAAGAAGGGAGTTAAGAAATTGGGGAGGCTTCAGAGAAGAGCCACAAGAATGATTAATTACATTACCCACTACAATACCCACCTGCTGAAGTGAAGAAATAGACTGACAGAGCCAGAAGAGTAGCCAGAAGTTACCTACTACAGGACAGGCCCAAAAAAGAAAATAACAGAACGTCACTAGCCGTCACCTTCAGCCCCCAACTAAAACCTCTCCAATGCATCATCAAGGATCTACAACCTATCCTGAAGTATGACCCATCACTCTCTCAGATCTTGGGAGACAGGCCAGTCCTTGCTTACAGACAGTCCCCCAACCTGAAGCAAATACTCACCAGCAACCACACATCACACAACAGAACCACTAACCCAGGAACCTATCCTTGCAACAAAGCCCGTTATCAACTGTGTCCACATATCTATTCAGGGGACACCATCATAGGGCCTAATCACATCAGCCACACTATCAGAGGCTCGTTCACCTGCACATCTACCAATGTGATATATGCCATCACTTGCCAGCAATGCCCCTCTGCCATGTACATTGGCCAAACCGGACAGTCTCTACATAAAAGAATAAATGGACACAAATCAGACGTCAAGAATTATAACATTCATAAACCAGTCAGAGAACACTTCAATCTCTCTGGTCACTCGATTACAGACCTAAAAGTGGCAATATTACAACAACAAAACTTCAGAAACAGACTCCAACAAGAGACTGCTGAATTGGAATTAATTTGCAAACTGGACACAATTAAATTAGGCTTGAATAAAGACTGGGAGTCGATGTGTCATTACACAAAGTAAAACTATTTCCCCATGTTTATTCCCCCCACCCACCCCCACTGTTCCTCACACGTTCTTGTCAACTGCTGGAAATGGCCCACCTTGATTATCACTACAAAAGAGTTTTTTTGTGTTTTTTTTTTTCCCCCTCTCCTGCTGGTAATAGCTCACCTTACCTGATCACTCTTGTTACAGTGTGTATGATAACACCTATTGTTTCATGTTCTCTGTGTATATAAAATTCCCCTACTGTATTTTCCACTGCATGCATCCGCTGAAGTGAGCAGTAGCTCATGAAAGCTTATGCTCAAATAAATTTGTTAGTCTCAGAGCCCCGGTCTACACTAGGACTTTAGGTCGAATTTAGCAGCGTTAAATCGATGTAAACCTGCACCCGTCCACACAATGAAGCCCTTTATTTCAACTTAAAGGGCTCTTAAAATCGATTTCCTTACTCCACCCCTGACAAGTGGATTAGCGCTTAAATCGACGTTGCCGGCTCGAATTTGGGGTACTGTGGACACAATTCGATGGTATTGGCCTCCGGGAGCTATCCCAGAGTGCTCCATTATGACCGCTCTGGACAGCACTCTCAACTCAGATGCACTGGCCAGGTAGACAGGAAAAGAACCGCGAACTTTTGAATCTCATTTCCTGTTTGGCCAGCGTGGCAAGCTGCAGGTGACCATGCAGAGCTCATCAGCACAGGTGACCATGATGGAGTCCCAGAATCGCAAAAGAGCTCCAGCATGGACCGAACGGGAGGTACGGGATCTGATCGCTGTTTGGGGAGAGGAATCCGTGCTATCAGAACTCCGTTCCAGTTTTCGAAATGCCAAAACCTTTGTCAAAATCTCCCAGGGCATGAAGGACAGAGGCCATAACAGGGACCCGAAGCAGTGCCGCATGAAACTGAAGGAGCTGAGGCAAGCCTACCAGAAAACCAGAGAGGCGAACAGCCGCTCTGGGTCAGAGCCCCAAACATGCCGCTTCTATGATGCCATTTTAGGGGGTTCAGCCACCACTACCCCAGCCGTGTTGTTTGACTCCTTCAATGGAGATGGAGGCAATACGGAAGCAGGTTTGGGGGATGAAGAAGATGATGATGATGAGGAGGTTGTAGATAGCTCACAGCAAGCAAGCGGAGAAACCGGTTTTCCGGACAGCCAGGAACTGTTTCTCACCCTAAACCTGGAGCCAGTACCCCCCGAACCCACCCAAGGCTGCCTCCTGGACCCAGCAGGCGGAGAAGGGACCTCTGGTGAGTGTACCTTTTAAAATACTATACATGGTTTAAAAGCAAGCATGTGAAAGGATTACTTTGCCCTGGCATTTGCGGTTCTCCTAGATGTAGTCCTAAAGCCTTTGCAAAAGGTTTCTGGGGAGGGCAGCCTTATTGCGTCCTTCATGGTAGGACACTTTACCACTCCAGGCCAGTAACATGTACTCGGGAATCATTGTAGAACAAAGCATTGCAGTGTATGTTTGCTGGCATTCAAACAACATCCGTTCTTTATCTCTCTGTGTTATCCTCAGGAGAGTGAGATATAATTCATGGTCACCTGGTTGAAATAGAGTGCTTTTCTTCAGGGGACACTCAGAGGAGCCCATTCCTGCTGGGCTGTTTGCCTGTGGCTAAACAGAAATGTTCCCCGCTGTTAGCCACAGGGAGGGGGGAAGGTTGAGGGGGTAGTCACGCGGTGGGAGGAGGCAAAATGCGACCTTGTAACGAAAGCACATGTGCTATGTATGTGATGTTAACAGCAAGGTTTACCCTGAAAGAGTGTAGCCACTGTTTTATAAAATGTGTCTTTTTAAATACCGCTGTCCCTTTTTTTTTCTCCACCAGCTGCATGTGTTTCAATGATCACAGGATCTTCTCCTTCCCAGAGGCTAGTGAAGCTTAGAAAGAAAAAAAAAACGCACTCGCGATGAAATGTTCTCCGAGCTCATGCTGTCCTCCCACACTGACAGAGCACAGACGAATGCGTGGAGGCAAATAATGTCAGAGTGCAGGAAAGCACAAAATGACCGGGAGGAGAGGTGGCGGGCTGAAGAGAGTAAGTGGCGGGCTGAAGAGAGTAAGTGGCGGGCTGAAGACAGGGCTGAAGCTCAAATGTGGCGGCAGCGTGATGAGAGGAGGCAGGATTCAATGCTGAGGCTGCTGCAGGACCAAACCAGTATGCTCCAGTGTATGGTTGAGCTGCAGCAAAGGCAGCTGGAGCACAGACTGCCACTGCAGCCCCTCTGTAACCAACCGCCCTCCTCCCCAAGTTCCATAGCCTCCACACCCAGACGCCCAAGAACACGGTGGGGGGGCCTCCGGCCAACCAGCCACTCCACCACAGAGGATTGCCCAAAAAAAAGAAGGCTGTCATTCAATAAATTTTAAAGTTGTAAACTTTTAAAGTGCTGTGCTTAAAGTGCTGTGTGGCATTTTCCTTCCCTCCTCCACCACCCCTCCTGGGCTACCTTGGTAGTCATCCCCCTATTTGTGTGATGAATGAATAAAGAATGCATGAATGTGAAGCAACAATGACTTTATTGCCTCTGCAAGCAGTGATTGAAGGGAGGAGGGGCGGGTGGTTAGCTTACAGGGAAGTAGAGTGAACCAAGGGGCGGGGGGTTTCATCAAGGAGAAACAAACAGAACTTTCACACCGTAGCCTGGCCAGTCATGAAACTGGTTTTCAAAGCTTCTCTGATGCGTACCGCGCCCTCCTGTGCTCTTCTAACCGCCCTGGTGTCTGGCTGCGCGTAATCAGCAGCCAGGCGATTTGCCTCAACCTCCCACCCCGCCATAAACGTCTCCCCCTTACTCTCACAGATATTGTGGAGCACACAGCAAGCAGCAATAACAGTGGGAATATTGGTTTTGCTGAGGTCTAAGCGAGTCAGTAAACTGCACCAGCGCACCTTTAAACGTCCAAATGCACATTCTACCACCATTCTGCACTTGCTCAGCCTGTAGTTGAACAGCTCCTGACTACTGTCCAGGCTGCCTGTGTACGGCTTCATGAGCCATGGCATTAAGGGGTAGGCTGGGTCCCCAAGGATACATATAGGCATTTCAACATCCCCAACAGTTATTTTCTGGTCTGGGAATAAAGTCCCTTCCTGCAGCTTTTGAAACAGACCAGAGTTCCTGAAGATGCGAGCATCATGCACCTTTCCCGGCCATCCCACGTTGATGTTGGTGAAACGTCCCTTGTGATCCACCAGAGCTTGCAGCACTATTGAAAAGTACCCCTTGCGGTTTATGTACTCGGCGGCTTGGTGCTCCGGTGCCAAGATAGGGATATGGGTTCCGTCTATAGCCCTACCACAGTTAGGGAATCCCATTGCAGCAAAGCCATCCACTATGACCTGCACATTTCCCAGGGTCACTACCCTTGATATCAGCAGATCTTTGATTGCGTGGGCTACTTGCATCACAGCAGCCCCCACAGTAGATTTGCCCACTCCAAATTGATTCCCAACTGACCGGTAGCTGTCTGGCATTGCAAGCTTCCACAGGGCTATCGCCACTCGCTTCTCAACTGTGAGGGCTGCTCTCATCTTGGTATTCATGCGCCTCAGGGCAGGGGAAAGCAAGTCACAAAGTTCCATGAAAGTGCCCTTACGCATGCGAAAGTTTCGCAGCCACTGGGAATCGTCCCAGACCTGCAACACTATGCGGTCCCACCAGTCTGTGCTTGTTTCCCGAGCCCAGAATCGGCGTTCCACAGCATGAACCTGCCCCATTAGCACCATGATGCATGCATTGTCAGGGCCCATGCTTTCAGAGAAATCTGTGTCCATGTCCTGATCACTCACGTGACCGCGCTGACGTCGCCTCCTCGCCCGGTATCGCTTTGCCAGGTTCTGGTGCTGCATATACTGCTGGATAATGCGTGTGGTGTTTAATGTGCTCCTAATTGCCAAAGTGAGCTGAGCGGCCTCCATGCTTGCCTTGGTATGGCGTCCGCACAGAAAAAAGGCGCGGAACGATTGTCTGCCGTTGCTCTGACGGAGGGAGGGGCGACTGACGACACGGCTTACAGGGTTGGCTTCAGGGAGCTAAAATCAACAAAGGGGGTGCCTGTACATCAAGGAGTATTTCAGGCAGGACTTCACGGAGGGTTCCAATAAGAAATGGTGCACCTAAGTTATCGTTCTTATTGGAACAAGGAGGTTAGCCTGGCCTCTGATTGATACATGGCTAGATTTACCTCGCTGCACCTTCTCTGTGAGTGACTGCAGTGTGACCTAGAGGAATGAGTCCCCTAGACAGGGGAGGAGGCAAATGAGTACAAAACAAATCTGGTCTATTTCTTGTTTTGACCCACTCCATCTATCTTTTACATCTTTGGCTGGCAGCAGACGGTGCAGAAGGACTGCATTCCATCCACATCTCATGGCTGCTCGGCAGAAGATGGTACAGTACGACTGCTAGCCATCCTCATCTCTTGCCTGCCTGGCAGAAGATGGTACAATACGACTACTAGCAATCCTCATCTCTTGCCTGCCTGGCAGAAGATGGTACAGTATGACTGCTAGCAGTCCGTATCGCCTGCCCGCTCACCATAAGACGGTTCAATAGGACTGACTGCAGGACTAAAGAGAATGACCTGGTCAAGTCACTCCAAATTTAGTCCCTGCGCCCATGTCTGCCCAGGCGCTCCCAGCCGACGTGGCCAGGAGCACCTCGGACACGACGAGGACGACTACCAGTCGTATTGCACCGTCTGCTGCCAGAAGGCAAGGAGTTGCTGCTACTGTGCAGCAAAGCCGTACCGCGTCTGCCAGCACCCAGGAGACATAGGGTGACGGTTACCTGAGCGGGCTCCATGCTTGCAGTGGTATGGCGTCTGCACAGGTAACTCAGGAAAAAAGGCGCGAAATGATTGTCTGCCCTTGCTTTCACGGAGGGAGGGAGGGAACGGGGGCCTGACGATACGTACCCAGAACCACCCGCGACAATGTTTTAGACCCATCAGAGTGCTCCATTGTGACTGCTCTGGACAGCACTCTCAGATGCCCGATTGTTTGCCGTTGCTCTGATGCCGGGAGGGGTGACTGAGGACATGGCTTACAGGGTTGGCTTCAGGGAGCTAAAATCAACAAAGGGGGTGGCTTTACATCAAGGAGTATTTCAGGCAGGACTTCACGGAGGGTTCCAATAAGAAATGGTGCACCTAAGTTATTGTCCTTATTGGAACAAGAAGGTTAGCCTGGCCTCTGATTGATACATGGCTAGATTTACCTCGCTGCACCTTCTCTGTGAGTGACTGCAGTGTGATCTAGAAGAATGAGTCCCCTAGACAGGGGAGGGGGGGAAGCAAATGAGTACAAAACAAATCTGGTCTATTTCTTGTTTTGATCCACTCCATCTATCTTTTACATCTTTGGCTGGCAGCAGACGGTGCAGAAGGACTGCATGCCATCCACATCTCATGGCTGCTCGGCAGAAGATGGTACAGTACGACTGCTAGCAGTCCGTATCGCCTGCCCGCTCACCATAAGACGGTTCAATAGGACTGACTGCAGGACTAAAGAGAATGACCTGGTCAAGTCACTCCAAATTTAGTCCCTGCACCCATGTCTGCCCAGGCGCTCCCAGCCGACGTGGCCAGGAGCACCTCGGACATGACGATGACGGCTACCAGTCGTACTGTACCGTCTGCTGCCACAAGGCAAGGAGTTGCTGCTACTGTGTAGCAATGCCATACCACGTCTGCCAGCACCCAGGAGACATAGGGTGACGGTTACCTGAGCGGGCTCCATGCTTGCAGTGGTATGGCGTCTGCACAGGTAACTCAGGAAAAAAGGCGCGAAATGATTGTCTGCCCTTGCTTTCACGGAGGGAGGGAGGGAACGGGGGCCTGATGATATGTACCCAGAACCACCCGCGACAATGTTTTAGCCCCATCAGGCATTGGGATCTCAACCCAGAATTCCAATGGGCAGCGGAGACTGCGGGAACTGTGGGATAGCTACCCACAGTGCAACGCTCCGGAAGTCGACTCTAGCCTCGGTACTGTGGAAGCGCTCCGCCGAGTTAATGCACTTAATGCACTTAGAGCATTTTCTGTGGGGACACACACACTCGAATATATAAAACCGATTTCTAAAAAAAGACTTCTATAAATTCGACCTTATTCCGTAGTGTAGACATACCCTAAGGTGCCACAAGTCCGCCTTTTCTTTTTAAGAATGATTAAAGGATTGGAAAATCTGCCTTATCGTGATACAGTCAAGGAGCCAGTCTATACAGTCTATAACCAAGAGAAGGTTAAGAGGTGACTTGATCACAGTTTATAAGTACCTACATGGGGAACAAAACTTTGATAAAGGGCTCTTCAATCTAGCAGACAAAAGCATAACAAATCTAGTGGCTGGAAGATGAAGCTAGACAAATTCAGACTGGAAATAAGATGCACATTTTTAACAGTGAGGGTAATGATCCGTTGGAACAACGTACTAAGGGCTGTGGTGGATTCTCCATTGCTGGCAATTTTTCAATCAAGGCTGGATGTTTTTCTAAAAGATCTGCTTTGGTTCAAACAGGAATGAATCCCGGAAGGTCCTGTAAACTGTGTTATTTAGGAGGTCAGACTAGAGGATCACAATGGTCTGGTCTCAGATCTATAAAAGGTCCAGGATGGGTTTGGGGCATGTGATGACAGAGAGAGGAAAAGCAGGGTCAGTAAGTCTCAGAAATAGGTAGGGTTTTCAGGCAAGTATCTCAGAAATATTAGAGCAAGAAAGGAAGGGGCTGCACCCCGCTGGGCTCCCGAAGTGAGCAGCAGAGAGGATGGAGTCCAGGTGGTGAAGTCTGGTAAATTACCAACAGGGAACGGCCAGGCCAGTCAGAATCCTGATACCATTAATAAACAAAGGTGCATGAGTGTAACAAGTACGGATGTGACGAGTGTGGGGGAGTGGAGGGAATGGGGGATTCAAAGATAGCAGCAGTAAATCATAGACTAGTTACATGTATGTAACAAGTTACATGTAGTACAAACATGAATGTAACTAATCTGTGACCTTATACCAATGTCTCTTGCCCTCACTGTCCTTCCTGTTCCACGCAGTGCATGCTCCTTCCCTCCCTCCCCTCCCCCCAGTCTTAAATTGGCTCAGAAGGTCTCCGGGGCAGGGACTGCACCCTGCTCTGTGTATGTGCAGCACCTAGCACGACGGGGCACCAATCCTCTGGCTGCTCATGTTGTATGAGCAATTCAACTGAAAAGCAGCTGTGTTCTGCTTGGCTAGCCTGTCGCTGCTGATGTGAAGTGGCAGGGCCTTGGCAGGGAGGAGGGCTCTGGATTGGACTGACTGGAGCAGAAGCCACACTCATTATTAACGGCAACTGAGAGGACTCCCTGCCTTCTGCATCTGTCCCTGGAACTATTTAAAGAGGGCCACTGACATCTGCACTGGCAGGTGGTCTTGGGGGCTGCTGGATAGCTGGCAGCCTGCTGGGGGATTGGGGCTGTGCTTTCATGCCGTCTGCCTGCTGGGTCCCACC